TGGGCACATTTTGGTAAGTGTAGCAGACTCTGCAGTCATGTGCAAGATTAATCAGGAATTTTCTGCCAATCACCACTTAGCAGGTGATGCTCAGTTCTCTGAAGGACAAGTATTACTCCTTCAAATTCTTAAAAATATATACACAAATCCAACCCAATCTAACCATCATTATTCCCAGTTACTAGTATTTTACCTGAGCGCTTAACATCAACAACATTTTGTGGAAATAACTTCCATCCACAGGGTAAGTTTGTGTCAGGGAAAAAACATAGTCGTTTCTTGAGCACTGTCATCAGAGTCGGTGGGGTTTCTTTTGCTTGCTTTTTAATCAATTATGCTATTTACCCTCAAGCCCAGGCTTACCGGAAAAATCCAAATGACATTTGCATTCTTGACCAGGCAATCGCCAGCAGAGGTATCTGCCTGCACTCACTATGATTCAGCTTCCATGGGATTTCTTAAAAGCCCTTTTTACCATCACACAGTGAAGGGAAACCTGAGCTAGCAGTAATAGGGACAGCTTTGGAAGTAGAAGCAACATGACTATACAGGGTGCTGCTTCAGGATTTGTGTTAGCATCCCACACAGTACAGCTCTCCAGATGCATCCAGACTAATGCCAAACAAACTGCTGTCTCTGCACATACCTTGTTTTATGATGAGTTTATACTCATACAACCTGAGGGCATATTAAAACCCCCTCCCTGCTAATATCAGCTTGTTACAGCTGCCTTTACACTTCAGATGCTGCATACAGAAATGGCACAAGGTCTTCCAGCTACAAAAGAAATTATTATCAATAAAAAGAAGCTTGGTGGATTATGGAATAGAACAGCATAAACTGCCTCAGTTTCCAGCAATTTTTGCAAACCCCAAGGACAAAATGGGCCTTGAAGACAACTGCTGCATGTCTAGCATCCCTTCCCTGGACTTACTGGACGGTATGATCTATGCCCATACCATTCTTGGATCTCTTGGTAAGGGATATTGTTTTGCAGAGCTACTGCCCACCAGTAACTTCCACCGGAACAGACTGCATAACCCTAAGCCAGAACTTCCTAACCTCTGGTCATATGTTTAGAGCCTATTAGATATTGTATTATTCTTTTAAGGATAAAGAAACAGAGGAAAAGTGGTTATTGTCTAGTTTAAAATTACCATTGAGCAAAGGAACATAAAAACAATGATATAAGATGAGGAACGGTGGGAAGGATTACAAGCTACTTACCATTTGGGCAGTGTTTTTCCAGAAGAGCCCAATATACATCCTGTGGCAACGTGGGTTAGCCGGATCTGACTCCGTAGGACTTTTATGAGCTTCCCAGTCTTTCTGCCCACCACTTCAATCCTCCAGAAATCATTGGCGTCTCCTGTTCCGTTCTATCATCCAAACACAGCACAAGAGGAAAAAAAAAGAACAACAAAAGACAAATAAAATATGGGAATGAGGCATAGCAAACAGGAACTTCTGAAACTCTAATGCTGGCACAGCTAAACTGAAGAACTCAGGGTACCCTTGCTTAGCGTTCACAAAAGAGATCCCCCATCAGGAAAAGACAATTCTAGACATCAGCAGCTACCCACAAATACATTTTTATCTTGCCAACTTTAAGATTTTTTGCTTCAAATTCATACTTGACTCTGGCTCAGAGTCACATTTCAAATGGGGGTGGCTTGGCTGCTTCACAGAAAGGGTTTAGGCAACAGCCCCTTCTCTTTGGAAACTCAGCCTCAAAGCAGATCTCATTTTCATGATTCCAAATGATGTCATCATTCTGTCAATAAAAGCCATTTGTCTATGTAACAGGGAAAAACACAGAAAATAATACTTGTCAGAGCAACTTCAAGGTTGCCCAGTTAGGCATTTAAGGAGGTGAACGCTGCCAAAGTTAGACTGAGAGTCAAAGCTTAATCATTTTCCTGACTGTGCTCACATTAAATAAAGCATAAATATGAAATACACTATCTTATACTAAAACAGATTTTCTTCCAGTCCAGCAGGTCCACATCTATCACCCTGGTTAACAAACTAGAGGCAGGAGTAAATCCCCTTGGCATGGTATGAACTCCCCCCAAAAGAAGGAGAGTTTGCTTTATCTTGCCATTCACTTACTATTCCATAGCCAGTGACCTGAAAATGCTTCCTTGTCAGGGGAGCCTCATGCTGGTGACTGTGGAGATTTCTAGAAGTTCTGGAATGAAATTAAAAGTCAAACCTGGTTTTGTTTTTATGTCTTAGTCAATAAGAACTTTGGTTCAAGCCATTCAGAGAGAGCCGACGGCATACTGACCACTGGACTCCAGGCTAGGGCAGGATGCAGCATGCAGCCTTGATGGTGATGGGGGCCATACAGTGAAACAGCTGCTTCCTACCACATGATAGTGAACTCCTGCCACAATGGACAGTACTGGCAGAAAGGGATAGTGTGAATTAATCCAACCCTCAAGCTACAATCCACCACCTCCTCATGGAAAATACATAGATTAGCGCTTGCCGCAGTTAGAAAAAGGAAAGCATTTAGCTGAAACTGCACTGAGTTTGTTTGGGGTTTTTTTTGTTTTTTTTTTTTTTATGAACAGCTAAGATGAGACTAACAGTTCTGCTCTTGCAAGAAGAAAAACAAGTTCCTCACCTGTCTTGACTATCAGTTTTGCTTTTGAGGGAAAAGATTGTACCACTTAATCAGATACAGACTTACTGAGGAGGGGGTCAGTGTCACCATTAGTACCAGGCATACTCCCCAAGGCTCATGGTGTAATTACCCAGGTCCTGCCCGAGTTGGGATTGCTAACTTGGAAAATCAGAAAAATCTGGGCATATCTAGGTCAGTCTGCACAGCCGTGCAGTAGCTCAGTTCTTAATAAAGCCACTCAGACAATGAGCCTCTCCCACCAACAACTGCAGGTGCATCCAGCCCTGCCTTATCTGCACAGAAACCCTCTGCCCACGCTGGATACTGTTTTTATGCAAAGGGACAAGAGCCATCTGCTGGATCTTTTCCCCAGCACTGCAGTTTCATCTCCCATTTCAGCAACCTGTCTCCCTTCAGCATGTGAGTAAAGTGAGACCAGTATTGTGAAAATGTTGGTGATAAATCCTTGATTTCACATATTTGCTGGTAAAACCCAAAATTCAAGGCACCACTTTCTTTAAACCTTAAAATTCGTTTTGGAAGCCTAAGTCATGATTTGTGAATGTGCAATACTGAGTGCAATATGACACAACTTCCAGACAAACGCGTACAGAACTTCTGTTAAGCAGCAAAAGTTCTGACAGCACAGAGCATTGCAGCATAGTGACATCAAACCAGATGAAGTTTAAACACCAAGTCACTAGCATTCCCCTGCTTCCCTTCAGGTATTCACTAGAGAGGCAAAATGTACAAGCCAGTACTTTTCTTCAAAGTGTCCCACTGCTGTGATCTCAGTGTTGATGAGAACTTCAGCAGGTGGATACTGTCTGGATATCTTCAGTACATTGACAAAACCAATCAGTCAATTTATCTAGCAAAGTGAGAGAGTGCAGACAAGCAACACAATGAGGGCAATGAAACTGCTTATTTGCAGGAAAGTAGTCCTAAATATTGCACGTCACACAGCCAGACAAATCTCTCACTGGACGCTGGATGGGCTGTGAAGTAGGCGCTTCTAATAAAGCTATATGGTTCTGTTAAAGGTTCCCCATTCCACAGACACCCATCAAAATATAAGCCATAGAAGAAGAACTCTACAAACCCCACACTGGAAATCCAGATACATAGACACATTTGACATATAATCAGCTTGTCTGGTCTAACCGTGGAGGCTTCGGCAGGTCAAGTCCCCTACCAGTCTTATTCAAACACTCAATCTCTTCAAATCCCAGTAGTCATTCTTACTCTTTATGTTCCAAGCGGATAATATCTCCATGCCTCACGAACTCCACAGGGCTGGAGGGGTCTGATAGATCTGCTGAAAGAAGGCAAATCTAAATTACATCTAGGCATTGACAAACAAATCAGTGTCTCAGAGCAAGTTTATTGGGAGCGCTCATGCCTCAGGCAAACTAGGAACACAAGGCAAACTCACTCGTGTGGACTCTAAACCTGGTGTAAGCCATTGTTCCAGTTTAAAGGCCAGCCCTCAGGGCTACTCTGTACAGCTGTGCAAGATCATGGCCCCAAGCAGCACATTGCCTTTAAATAAGAGGATACAAGGCCAACCTAACTGAACAACACAACTAGAAATATACATTTTTATTTCATGGACTGTATCATGACACTTGCAATAGTGAGTATAATTTTACTATTTCTGGGTTATTTCCCCACCCACTGTTTCTTAAAAAACAGTTCCCTGCCAGTTTACATATATATTCGTGGTGCAGGTGTAGAAAGGGAGCTCCTCCAGACCAAATATGCCTCAGCTATAGTATATGACATTCTAAAACAGATAGCAAGTACAAACATTAGGTCTCCATGTTCAATAGGCAGCCTGGTCCTTAGCAGGACAGTCAAACACTATGTACCGGGACCCAATTTCTCCAGGAACCACAGCCGCAGTAACAAATTCCATAAAAAAATTAATCTGAGCTCAGATTAATTTTCTTTCTTTTATTTGCCGCCCTGACTACCTGAAAGTTTTCAATGCAACCTTCAGCTGAGAAAAGCTTGTCTACTTCAGCTGTACAGACTGGAGAAAAAACAAAAGTATGGTTGACATAAAAAGCATTGATCAAGATGAAACCAGATTCCCTTTGTTCTTTCTCCTCTTCTTCCCCTCATATCAATGAAAGATGCTTTGCAATGGAGGCAGTCAGAACATTTAAGTGAAAAACTGAAGCAGCAGTTATAAAAATCACTCTGCTGGTATTTGTTACCTGTATTTGAATCATGTTTTTTTATAATCCACAGGTTATTCAAATCTTTATGCAAGTAGGCAGTGACCTGAAAACACAGTATAAATCATTTCATCGAACAAGTAAAAAGCTGGACATAGTAAACGTGCATTCATCAGCAAATCCAAGTCCCAAGTAAATGCATGACTAACACAGAAAACCTGGAATGATTTTTTTATGATGTTGCCTTAAAAAGTCAGTTATCAGCCCCTGCTTAATTCAGACCACATCTTTTAGTCAAGGTATAGCCCATGTACTCATGATCACTACACTCAATGAGAGTTCACATGCACCACGAGTAGCAACTTCCAACCATATAGCTTAACCTCTTCTCACCCTACTTTGGAGGCTCCTTCTACAACAGAATATCCAAATGTGAATTTTTTGAATAATTACTGACTGGTACCAGAACCAGTCAGTGGAAATAGCACTAGCTTTATGGACAGGCAATATTAATAGAGATTTAGGACAGCAGGCTGCCTGTGGCAACCATAATACTTCAGTCAAAAGATCCAGGCAAAGTAAGGCGGGGTACAGGGATCAACTGTTAAAGCAGCACAGGCTGCCCAGAAGTTTAATCTTCACCTGCCTCCTCAGCCTCACACAGAAGACACTTCTGTCCTACTGCTAGCAAGGGCAGAAGAGCATCTGGCCAGAGGGTGCTGCCACTGAGGGCAACCCTCCTGAGCAGCAGAAGGAAATGTACCCGCCTGGCACACACTCCTCTTCTAGCTGCGACCACTGCAAGCCCAGTTCTCTGGGACCCCATCCCAGTCCCAGACCTGTGCCTCCCGCTTAGGTGGGAGCAGAAGGCCCTGTGCGTAGGCAAGATGGAGCCAGAACATACAGGAGTGGGGGGTGAGGGGGGGGAAGGTGGAGCTTCATACCCTGAGGTCATATTTTCAGATGAAGAGGTAAAGAAGAAGGCAGAAGGAGACCCCTGCCTCCATCTTTTCCTCCTGAAATCCCCTGAAGTTCTAAGCTCCCTTCCCCTCTCCAAACCCCCAAAATTCTCCCAGTCCCCTCTTCTTGTCCCAACTCAAGGATATAGAGTGGGGGGGGGTGTCCACCCTCTTCCACTTAGCCTCAGGGAAACTCCCATTAGCATCTCCCAATCCCCCTTTCCTGCTTTTAGTGTCATAAAGCACGTTCTGCACTTGAATTCTGCCTACCCTCGAGCCAGTTCTGATAGGACATCTCCACCTGTAGTAATAAACATTAATGGCACATGAGAGCATTAGAATTCCCGGCTGGGAAGAACAGCAGGAAAAGAAGACTGAAGCAAAGATTTAATTTTTGAAAAAACAAAAAAAAACAAAAACCACCTCTTCCTCATAACAGAGACTGAACGGAGTTAAAAAAACAAATACACTTGTTTTTCTCTGGCAACTTTCTTTCAAAGAGCTCAGAAAATTTTTAGATATAAATATGCAAACTGCAAAGTATATCTTGGGAATGTTATAGAGCCTGCAAATACTGTTGAGGCTTGATGACGATGAACAAAAATAGGAATTCCATTTTATTTTTGTACTACTTTAATTAGTGATAATTACAAGTTTTCTGATTTTTACTTTGATCTACTGGTTAATCACTTATCAGAAGCCCTTAAAGAGTTCAGGTAGGCACCTCTCATTATGGCTAGCTTATGAATGTACAGAAATCTAATTTAATGAACAAAGCCTTAAAAATACTCATGTCACAGATGAGGAAAACAAGGCACCAAAGAGGAAGTAATTAACGTAAGGTCACAAGAGGCCAATGGCAGAGGTGAAAACAACACCTGGTACTCCTCTTGCTTTTAACACACAGCAATGAGCTCTATAAAATAAAGTAATAAATTTGTTTTATACATAGGTTTTGCAGCCTTTCTTGAGGTAACAATAGTTCCTTCGTTAGGGAATATTATTTTTAAGTCCTCTTGGCCTCCATCTATGGAGGGTGATCTTGCTACTGTAATGAAGCCTAGCTACTCTCACCCCTCTGGAGCAAGAGCAGCAGGCTCTCCTCAAGCATCCTAGCTACAAAGGTTTCCAAGCCCAAGGTACAGTCATGGAACTAAGAGGATGCCAGACTGAGTACATACAGAGCTCCGGTCACAACAGCATCTAATGCTCAGCACAATAGGAACGAGGCAGCTCCACAGGAAGATGGCCACAGGACAAGGGAAGATGGCTGTAGTCAGAGGCAGTACCACAGCAGTACACTAACCTGTTGCTGGCGGGCTCCTACACCCTCTGGGTAAAGGTGCCAGTGTGAGTGAAGGTATCCCCCTGCCATCCGAAGGTTCTTCATTGTGACCACAGAACCATAAGCCAAGTCTAAATGTGGAGGAAGGAGAAACAAAGGCATAAGACAGCTCTCTTATAAGTATCTCCCCCAGCCAGCCTGCAGTGCTCTGATTAGGCATACATGTTCCTGCTTTATTTTTATGCAAGCTGATTTCCTGTTTCACACAACTCCAAACAGCTTATCTTCCATCACCAACCACAGTTCAGTAAAACTGATCTATAAAATTTGGTTGAAACATTTAAAATTCTCCCAGCTAGTTTTAACATAAACAGAAGTGCTAGCTCCTTTGAATGCAATCTCAACGACGAGAGGTTTGGGATTGCTTTCCGCAAGAGTATACGGTCAAATTAGAACATTATCCATTACGAAAAGCATGTAACTAGTTTGAAATATTCCCTCACCCAAGCCCTTCAGCAACACAAGAGGGAAGAGAGGCAAGCTCAGTCAGCTGTCAGGGAGTGGAGGTAGCATACTGGCCTTAGGCACCTTCCCTCACAGCCTCCCAGCACAAGTGGAGCATCTAGGAGAACACAGCTGATGCTCTCCCAGTAGCAGCTCTAGAGCAGGGAAATGCTCCAAACAAAGGACAAAACAATATGACAAAACAGTTACTGACAGTGCATTAAACATATTAAATGTTATTTTCAGCCTTTTTTTGTTCTCTTGAGATATAAGACTGCAGAGGAACAGCAGGGATCTGACTATGAGCACAAAGGCATAATCTGCACTGTTCTGCACTGACTTACAGGAGACCTTGTTTTCATTTAAACACACAGGTGCATTGATAAAACCCATCGAAGCAGTTTATTCCCTTAGACACTCACACTCTGGAACAGAGACGTTATGAAGATTGTTCCCGATCAACTGGGACTGAAAGGCAGAACTGAAGAAACCATCCCCAGGCCCACTACAAAAGAGAGCAAAGAACGTGACAGGCAGAAGTCTGGTAAAACAGGTATACAAAGCTCTAACATGCATTACCAAATTGTTTCTACAGAAGGAAAAAGATAAGACCAGACACAATCTCAGGAGAAGAATGCCTGCAGTTCCTTTAGGTACATCTGTCATGCTGTGAATCACAGCAGATGCACGCACTCTTGCAAGCAATTGTCCAGAAGTGCAAGGACTTGAGGTCACAAAAATGCAAGTCTTCTGGCAGTGCACAAAGCACCATCAACTAGCTTTGGAGGTGCTGTTTTTATAACAAATAAACCTGACTCACTATCAGGTCGGATATAGCAAAGCCTCACTCTGTGGCCCTTAAGTTCCACTTCTGGTAAGAGGCTAGTGCTAAGATCACCCGACTTCAACTTAACAATCTGAAAAATAACAGATTTTATGTACGTTCTTTTTTTAATGTTGAAATGCTTATTCACCTCACCTCTTAATGCTGGCATACGGATCATTACTTAGCCATTTTACTATCTGTTGTGCTCTTTCCAGATAAACATCATCCACTGGTTGCAGGCATTCAGAGCAGAGCCCACCCTTTGCTAACACTTATCAGACTATTTTTAATCTGATCCAAAACATCTTTCAGGAATGCGATGCTTAAAAAAGGCAGGGAGGGGTTTGAGACATTTTCAGGTCCAAGAAAGAGAGGAGAAAAAGGAGACAGACAGTTTGGTCAGGATACTTGCTTGGCATCTCAGAAAGTCTCAAGCTCAAGCCCTGTTTCACTGCCAGCTTGGCCAGAGCCTTCCTCTGAGAACAATGCAGTAGTCTGGGAAGGGAACTAAACGAAGACACAGCTTGTGGCTGTGCTTCTGACACTGAAAATGGAGAAATCCATAATCAACGGCCTTTAATTCCATGCAGAGACAGGTGATTCCTCTTCTGGAGGAAACGCTTGAAAAATACCTTTTATTTAAAACAGCAAAATGAACAGCAAACATAGCCGTGTAGAGGGCAAGCGGGAGCAGGATGAGGCAGAGCACTCGAGCCAGTAAATGCCTCCCAAACATGACCTGTAACAAACACAACCTGGATCAAACAGTGCAGCTGCAGAAACAACTCCCCTCCTTACTTAACCAAACCCTGAGCAAGAGTCCACTGCACATAACAAGCACAGCAAGCTGCAGAATTATCTCAAAAAGGCTTAGAGAGAGGTATAAGCCAAGGCAGACCTTATTGCCCATCTCCAAAAGCTGGAGGTGGGGTTTCTTGAAATTTCAGGGACATGAGAGGAAGATAAAAAAAGGCAATGGGAGGGTTTAACTTTCCAAAATGTCGTGCATCCCTAACTACGGCAAAAGAGCTTAGGCAGCTCCCATTGATAGTCCTTTGAGAAAGAGGAACATACACTTTAACTTGTTTATAAGAACAGTACAGGCCTTGAGACCAAATCACAGCACGGAGATGGCTTCCAGAATAGCAATTGTCAAAGGTGAATAAAATGCAAAATGAAAGCACAAGGGTACGAGCTACTAGATACATTTCCCCCAACAAGTCTCCTTGTGCAGATGTGAATGCAATAAGGACTTCTTGGGAACCTAGGCACGATTCATTTACAGAAACCACATCACTTAGCAAGGACGTTCCCACACAGTAATTTTGTTGCTGCTCCTCAGCCACAAGTTACAGAAAAGTCAGGAGCAAAACCTCTGAGTGTTTCAGCTGCCTCAACACAAAAGCAAAGCGCTTGACTTAAACCACTGAGGGAGGTGGTTTGTACACAGATGCCCAAGATGTGATTACATACCTCCATCCCACTGACACTGCTGGTAGTAAAGCTACTGACACTGCTGGTAGTAAATCTAAAGTACAGGATGGTAACAGCTATAGGAAAGGAAAACACCACAAACTACAGCAGCTGTTTGCCAAATGTCTGCATCTAACTCTAAGGCTGACAAAGGCAAATTTACTTGCTATCGTCTATATTTTGTTTTTACATGGTACCTATCACACAGTCATTAAGCTAATCATCCTCCATCCCTTAACACGAGATCAAAAGATTTTGGAACTAATGGAAAAAAGACCTGAACACATGACAGAACTAAGGAGGAAAATCTGAGTTCCCTCACTGTATATGAGGCTCTGAACCCGCTGAAGTCACCAAAAGAAACAGTTGCCCAGGTCAAGTACTTGAACGGAATGCTTTCAAAAAATGGCTGCGTGCACCACTTACACTGGACACTTGCAAAAATGCTGATCTATGATACATAACCAAAGTTATGCAGCACAGGAGCTAATCTCCAGTCCCTCACTCAAAATAACCACAATATCCTTCCATCTTTGTAGAAAGGATTTTTTTAAACTACAAAGCACAATGCAGAGTCAAAAGAAAACCCACATGAAGGACAGTATCAAGCAAAACAGAACAGCGAACCAGTAAAAGCTGGGAATTCTAGAAATCAAATTAGTTCCAAAAACATTGCATGTAACATGAATCATGACTAGTTTCCTAAAAAATGCAGAGAGGGCTATCTTTAGATGCTCTAATTTTGGCAGCCGGCCAAAAGTTGTCCCCCCCCCCCCCCCCCCCCCCCCCCCCGAAAAGTACCAAGGTTGCCAGATAGTTAGTTATTCAGCAAGCATCTCCCTCCTGGAGTAAATTTCCTTACATATTCTAACACTCAGGGGCTTGCTGGCTATGCTGCCAGCAGCACAAATAAAATCACTATGCAGCCGTCTGCTGGCAGAAGGCTTAGACATGATGGATTTGTTCCATTTCAAATGCAATTAACTGACTCTGCTCAAGAAGTGTTTCTCTGGAGCTGGAACGTTGCATCTTTGCAGCCCATATTGACTCACATTCCTCAGAGAAAACAAATCACAGCAGGAACAGAAAAAGTCCCCCCCAAAAATCCCACTGCTTATGAGACAGAAGCAGGACAAAAAACAGTAAGTGAAAGGAAGAGAAGAGGCTGAACACCTTTTAAAAGGTGTGCCTGAAGAATTTTTTTTCTCTCCTCATTGCGAGACAGCAAATGGCATATCATAGTATTTCGTCAAACAGGAGATTTCACAGTTCCCATGAATAAGATCCAATATATTAGAAGAGAGCGCTCAAACACACTAGCAAATTACTTAGAGTTTATAAAAACTAAATATGTGTGAAATCAAGCAGGCTATGGCTGCCCACACCCTAAGGACAGGTTATGAGGACTGCAAGTTACTGAGTATGCCTATGATTCATGAGGGACTACATTGTGCTAGTGCTACACAAGCTGCATCACTGTACTACTGGTGAAGCATAGCCTCAGCTTGCTCTGCTTATGCAGACTAGGTGCTGCAAGACATGCCTGTCTGCCAGCTGGCAGGTACTCCTCAGAAGGTCACGTAACACTATTTTGGACAGTGTTTGACTTTGGGTCATCGTTCAGCCACTGCTGACATGCATTTGTAGCTTAGACTGAAATAAAATTCAGCCAGCTGGACAGGTAGTAGCTTCTCTTGGGAAACAGCAACAATCTTTTCACTGTGCTTTTATGACATTATATCCTGCTGATGTGTTTTTTTAAAAAACATATGGCTATAGTTTTTCCATTAAAACCTTCATCTTTAATCATCATCATCCAGCTCAGATGCCACTGTCTGCTGTTTACAGGATACCACTGTCTGGCAGTTTTCACAGATGTTAAAAGCTAAGAGAATTACAAGGGCAAAAGAAAGCAAAACAAAACAAAGAAACTCTTCACAAAGAAAAGCTTGAACACTCACCAGTGATAGGCTGAGGTTCCCCAGCAAGTCCCAAAGATCATAGACTGTGTTCAGGCCAACCAACAAGACTACAAAAAGGCCAACAAACTTCACCCCCATTGCTCCAGCAAGGTTCACTCCAGTCAGGCTCAGCCAGAACCACCAGGAGGTGGAAAATGGCCTGCAGGACAGACAGAGCAGGTTAGTAAAGAAATGACAGCTACATGCACAGACAACACAATCAGGAAAAGAAACAGAAAATCAGCTACCCTCCAAAATTACATTCCATCTTCTTCTCAGGAGTGGAATGGGAATAAAAAGATAAGTTTTTCATTCATTTAAGAGGGATGCAAGGATACCCTTGACAGAGAATTCAGAAGGGCCCATCACTTAAGCCTGGGCAGCCCTAGATCTCCTCTTTAAGGAAGAAAACACAGACATTAGTATAAGCTAAAACACTAGTGTGAAGAAAATCCCACAAATAAAAGGCTTGAAAGCAGAACTAGGAGTTTTGCTCCACCAAAAAAAAAAGCTTACTTCAGTCAGAGAGGTAAGGACATGGGGGAGTACAGAAGAAATACAGCAGTCACTTTCTTTCTAAAACAGCAAGGCCTTAGTGGAGAACATCTACCCAAAGCACAAACAAAAACTGTGGCAAAGAGCAAACAAGTTACAAACTAAAATAAAACTGAACCACAAGGAAAAGACAAGGGAAGATGTCAGCAGGATTTAAAACCTTTCCTTACTGACTTCTGACGTCGTGGTGCTTACGTTTTGACTAGACAAAATCCCCATGACCACCTGCTAAGCAGCATGACAGATAGAGTTGGCTTTTAATTTACATAAAATTTACTAATAAGAGCCAAGCCTGTTTTCAAAGACATGAGAAATAAGTTCACGTCATGGTACACAGAGCGACATTATGAACTGATCAGACACTACCTTGTACCTTAGCATTTGCACTCCCTGGGGTGTGTGTTGTAGACAACGGTGGCTCTAGTTGGCATTACATGACTTTGTGGGCTGAATTTTAGTCATGTCTGCTGCAGTCATGCTAAGATTGGTATGATCAGTTCCTGAACATTTCATGAAGCAAAAATAGTTCATACATAGTACAGCCTTTTAGGCTTTCTTGTCTTCAAATTCTGTATTGCGGGGAAACTACTCTGTAGAGCCTAGCCAGACAAGCCTTTTGACATCTCCAAATACCTATAATCACCATTCCCCTCTGGATATTTCTATAGGAAATACCTCAGTTGTTTCATTCACAACCATCCTGGCAATATTTTCCTTAAATGTTTGGAACCAGTTTGGTTAAATCCAACAAATTACACTATTTACCTCAGATGGCAGAATTTTATAAACACTCACAGGATTACAGTCACAAATAAGTTGCTTAGTCTCCATGCCAGAGAAATGTAACTAGGTCAAGATGATATATTAATATATTTTTGCCATTAAGGGTCAAAGCCCTGGCCAGGCTACAGTCATCTTCCGTTCCCACTCTTCTGACCTATGATGCCCTACAATAGCTTTCTTTCCTGTCAGGAAGTTTTAAAAAGCTTTAACCTTCATTTCAAAATTTGCAGCTCCATCAACACTATTTCTGCTAAAGTTTCCTTTCACACTTATAGAATCTATTTAAGTCTTTTCCTAGGTTACCCCAGGCATGATACTTTCTCCCGTGTTTCACAAACTCTTATACTAAAAATACCTCACCCCTACCACGAGCCATTTTCACCTCTCAATTTTCTGAAATAATCTAATCTCAGCCATTTACCCACACTATCAAGTGTGAAACAAAATCTGGTATTTTATCTCTGTGAAAGTGAAATGGCTATAGCTTAAGAAAAATGTCATCTTCATCTTACCTATCTGCACAGGTGTTACATTTCACCATACTCAGAACAGCCCCCATGAGGAAGAACATCAGAATGGGGTCAAGCAGAATATATTGGGACAAAGTAATACAGCCCGTATCTGCAAACAGATGCATGACACTGTCAGAAAGATTTGCTGTTACAAAGTAAATCTAACATTGAAAGAAGCCACTTAAGTCAGCGTAGTCAAGAGAGAAGGAATAAGGGCAATTTTAGAAATGGAAACAGGTCAGAACATTTCAACTACTACCTGGATAAAAAATTAAAAAAAAAAAAAAATCACAAAAACACCTGTGAAGCACCACTTGGCAAGTGCTGCTAACATAATCAGAGGAAGAGTGTTACAGTCATCAGGGATCTACCATCTAAGGTTCCAGCATGATACCAGAGGATGCTCAAGAGGGTGAAAGAAAAAAAAAAACTCTTTCAGATGTTATCTATAAAAGAAATATGACTTGAGTATTTTAAATTCCAGCGAATCAGTATCCGTGCATGCTGGTAAAAGCCTGATTCGAGTAATTCCATTTGCAATGCTAATCTCTTCACTATTAGCTCAGGAGCCTTATTCATTTCTTACCCTAAACTCTTGCACAGTACTGGAGTAGTCTGCTAAATATCCTATAACTCATATGAGAGATGTCAATATCTCACCAGTGGGTAAAATTATTCCTGGCCACATATCTTGTAAAGAATTCTTAAAATGGAGGTGAAATGCAGTGCAATGCTGTAGTTACGCACATAACAGAAGTACCTATAAACTAAAAAAGATTGTAAAATCCTCTAGGGGACTGACAGTCCAAAAGGCTCCTATAAAGCAAACTTAGTTGGCTTTTGGGAATATTTCTCATTAGCCACAATATCCTCTGGCTAGGTAGTGACATGAGACTCCAAAAAGGAAATTCTCTGAACAGTTAACCTGTGCCGTTTTGCAGTAGCAGGAATACCTACCAAAAACAAGGATGAAAGCTGTGAGTAAGGCTGCAGGTAGTGACTTGGACAGTTCTAGTACTGTGAGGTAGGCAAAGGGAACCAGGCAAGAGCCAAGGAACGCACAGAACTGCAGGAAAAGAAGATCATGGGAGACGTTACACCCCTCCCCAAGGTGAACGTGCATGCATATCCCTCCCCTTCCTCCATCTGATACAACTGCAAACAACAGGTGGCTTTGCAGGTGACTAAACTGGCTCACTACAAACATTAGACAAAAGTCAAATGAGTAAAGATACTGTTAGAGAATGTCAACTGCTTACTCTGTTCTCAAGAGATTTCAGTAACAACAGTTAGTAGGTTAGTCTCTTTCTGGACTGCATGAGATATTTAGAAAAAGATCTGTGGAAGAGATGCAATACACATCCATCATACTCAGCTTATCTTAACTAGATATTAGACTATGGAATTTGAGAAAAAAAAAAGTACATTTGCCTCACACATCTTCAGTAGACCAATATCACTCCCAACAGGCAAATGAGAGTGAGGGCAGTTAGAGAGGGAAGAATGGAAATCAGTCCAAAAGAAAGTAGCACAGCAGTAAATTCTCCATCTTCAAGGACTGGTTCTAGCATTTCTCCTGCCTTTGGCTCAGGGAAATCTAGAACCATAAATTGGTGGAGATTGGAAAGTAAACTAAGAAAATATGCCTCCCCAGTTTTTAACCCTTTATTCCAGGCACTAGCAACTGGCCACTGTTTCTTCATGTGACTTGCTTTATCTGCTATTTAGGAAGACCAAGAGCCATAAGCCTGATATCAGCACCACCTGGGTTCCAGGTGGGATATCACTCTGGACAATGGCAATTTTTCCCCATCAGCTCTTTCAGCCTTAGTGTCACTGGGAGCAGCAAACTGTAGGTGGCTGTGGATGGTACGGCCTTTCTTGAGGTCCTTGGCTCTCAGCCATCAGGGACTCCAGTATGGCAGCCAGGTACACTGGGGTGAGCAGGAGCCCAAGCTCAGAAGAGTACCTTCTGCAGGACAGGCAAGATATATGGCCCATTGAGAACTCCAGCCCTGCTAATGAGTAGTGAGAACTGGCCTCTATTATCATCTTATATTCTCACCTGGCTTCTGACAGCCAGATATTAAGACTTACTCACTAATACGTTTCTACAGAACTTAAAAACACAACACAAAGCTAAATAGACCTTTGATCTAATCCCGTAGAGCTGGACTTACGACACAGCAGTCTATATTGTAAAGCCAAGGAGAGCTAACAAGCTAGGAACCAGTCCGTAGAGCCTTACCCCTCTCATTCCCACATAGTTGTGCTGTTCATATCTGTCCCCTGGCTTTTGGAAAGGAAATGTACCATCATATCCACTAAGGTAGCCAGCAAGTCCAATCAGCATCTGAAGAGGTAAGGTGGGAAAACTGGTCAGGGAAATCACATTGGCAGAAGAAGAACCCAACTCGACAGCAGGAAAGATGTTCATAGCAGCCAAGTTTGAACCAGAGGATAACTATATACTAATTCAGAGACATCATCCAAACAAGAGTAAAGAGTTTACGTACAAAATTCATATATATACATATTGTTCTTTGTGTAAGGGCAAAGCCAGAGGGGACCAAAGAGACTGCAGCTGCTGATTATAAAAACCACTGCAGGCTCAAGAGAACTGGGTGCAGGATTTGGTGGAGAGAATTCTGCCTCTGCAGATTCTTCTCATAGCTCCCTGTTCCGAGAGTTTAAGAAGTCTCGGCCCGAAAGGAAGACAACCTTCCCAAGGCAGAAGAAAAGCATCCTGATCAATACCTCATAAACTTCTTTTATTGCTAGAAAAAGCTTTCAAACATAGAGCAGGAAGTCAAGTCATTCAAAGTCCTTTGTGCTAGGGATCTTATTTGCACACAGGTTATCAGGAATTGTTTGGCTCTTTAGACCTGTAGCCTTCCATTAAACATCTCCTCCAACCCAATGCACAATACTGTTTTGTTTCCCCTTATTCAAAGCATGTCCTTGAAGAAGAAAAGATGCACATAGAGGCTCAGGACGTAGAAGGTAAACACCAGGATGCCAGTCACAGTCAGATAAGGTTTTAGTGTTTACTACATCCTTCAACCAGATGGAAGGGGAAGAGTTTTCTTGGCCTATTCCCGTGGCTTCTAAAACATACAACAAAAGAGCAGGTTACCTTCCCCAAAGGAGGGTGGACATCAAAGAAGAAGGTGCGATTAATGTAGTAACTTCCCATCTTCCCAAAATGAGTTTCATCCCAACTGGAAAAAAAATAACAAAATAACCTACTCCAGTGCTGAAGAAAGTCAAAATCCAGGGAGGCCATTTTCTTAATGTTTTTCATCATAGAGAGGCATTAAATTCATTAGGCAAGGCATTAAATTCATTAGGCAAACAGAGATGGAGAATACTGTAGCCATTTTAGGCAGGGTCTCTTTTAAGCGCTCCAAAACTTCCAGCCTACCTTTCTGATTCCAGATAGAGCTCAGAGACATTAAAAAGTCAACCTGCAATTCGCACATCCCAAAAGCTGTCCACCCAAGAGGCTGTCCCCTCCCCACACCACTCTAACAACCTCCAGAGCAGCAGACAGAGCTGGGAAACGGCTCCGCAAGGCCAGGGCGCCATCTGGTCGCCCTCTCACCACCACTGCACCACCGGCTGGAAACAAAAATAAATCTTCTTCTAGCCGTGCAAACCTGGGGCGGTCGGGATGTTTGAGAACAGGGACAGGGGAGAGAGCAAGGGTGGGAAGTTTTTATTTATTCTTTTCTTACTGACTTGGCATAGGGATGGAAACATGTTTTCTCTGTCGGGTACCGACTGGCAGTGAGTAAGGTCCCCCGCGAGTGACGAAGAGGCGCCCGGGGCGCGGAGCAGCGCCCCGGGCGGGCAGGTCAACCCCCGCCCC